AACCTCAGTCCTGCCCACCCCCTCTCCCCAGCTCCTGTTTGGGCTTAAAGGACTAAAGTTCTGTATTTCACAAAGTCCATAGAATGGCTGAAACATTTTATAGAAGTGTCCAGCCCAGAGACAAAACATGTGTAGCCCAGAGACATGTCTCCTAGGCTTACCTCTCAGAAACGGGATTGACCCCAAAGAACACAGAACCTCCTTCTTGCTTCCCATTGCTGTCTGCCTTCCAGAACCATATCCAAAGCACATCTGCTGGCCCAGACTATCCATGAGAGTTTCCCACAGGTACTATAAAAGCTGTCATCATAGATTCAGATGAGATCATGCCGTTTCCTTCCATAGTCTCCTAGAAAAGGCTCCTGAGGCCTCCAGCCCAGTGCTTCATTGCTCCTCACCAGCCCCACCATAGGACAACACCAGCTTTCTGTAGAAGAGCAACTGCAACCTCTCTCCGGGAGGAACAGTGAGGGCCCTAACATCTCCATATGGGTAAATTCCCCTCATGCAGTGCGAAACAGAAAACATAATATAGAATACGTAAAGAAGGAAAAGAGTAGATATGGGAGGTGCTTTGGTCAACCTTGATTTCTGGGTTCTTCTTCTTCCTCTCTGAACTCTCCTGGGGTCAATGCACTGGAAGTCACCCATTAGATGCAATCTATAGCCAGGTTATCTTCTCTGACATCAGTAGAACATTTTACCATCTACAGTCTTACAAATTCCTCCCAAGAAGGCATGTATTATTCTTTCTATTTAGCAAATGAGCAAACTGTTGCTTGAAGAGATTGGACAACTCGCCCCAGGTCATACAAGTAGAAAAGCGGTGAGACCTGGACTCAAATCCGGTCTTTGGGGTCCAAGGTTTGTGTCATGATAAACAAAGATTTATTTTGCACCTACTATAGGCACCAGGAGCTCTGGTAGCATAGTGGCTAAAGCACTTGACTGCTAACCAGAAGGCTGGCGGTTCAAACCCACCAGTCACTCCTCGGAAGGAAGGTTGGGCAATCCTACTTCCGTAGTGATACTGCCTTGGAAACCCAAGGAGGGGTCGCTATGAGTCGGGGCCGACTCGACGGCACATAACAACAACAACAACAATAGGCACCAGGGTTCAGTAACTGGTCTAAAGCAAAAAGGAACTTATGTAAGCAGGGGAAGGAGCAGGTTCAACAGCTCAAGCTAGTACAGGTGGCTCCTAAGCCCGGCTCCACTGGCCCACATGGACAGAGAAGAGGCTGGATATCAGAGGCTGACACAGGCCCCAGAGCCCACCTGAAGAGGGAGTCATGGGTCCTCTAATCTGCCTTGAGTCTTGGTCCCATTAGAAGACATATCCCACTCTCCAGTTCTCTAGTACTGAACAAGTTGGGGTGGTTAGCTCATTTGTAATACTCAGCTTAGGCTCTTTTCTTTTAAGAAAGCCTAAGGAGACTTCTGGGAGCTCTGGTAGCATAGTGGCTAAGGCATTTGACTGTTAACCAGAAGGCTGGTGGTTCAAACCCACCAGCCACTCCTCAGAAGGAAGATGGGGCAATCTACTTCCATAGCAATACTGCCTCGGAAACCCAAGGAGGGGTTGCTATGAGTCGGGTCCGACTCGACGGCACATAACAACAACGAGACTTCTTAGGAGCTCTGGTGGCATAGTGCCTAAGCCATTTGACTGCTAACCAGAGGCTGGCAGTTCAAACCCACCAGCCACTCCTTGGAAGGAAACGTGAGCAATCTACTTCTGTAGAGACACTGCCATGGAAACCCAAGGAGGGGTCGCTATGAGGGTCGCTATGAGTCAGAACCGACTTGACAGCAGTGAGTTTAGATTGGTTTGGTTTTAAGGAGACTTCATAGAGCTAAGTGGCCTCTTAAAAATGTATCTGCAAAGCCACAATCTCTCCTTAAAGTTTCCCTAGGTGTAGGGGGCAGGAACTCTTAATTAGGTTAGTAATCCCTTATATTAGTATGCCTATAGTAGGTGCTAGGAGCTCTGGTAGCGTAGTGTCTAAGTCACTTGACTGTTACCCAGAAGACTGGCGGTTCAAACCCACCAGCCACTCGTCAGAAGGAAGGTTGGGCAATCTACTTCCATAGTGATACTGCCTTGGAAACCCAAGGAGGGGTTGCTATGAGTCGAGTCTGACTTCACGGCACATAACAACAACAACATAGTAGGTGCTGGGAACTCTGGTGGTGTAGTGCCTAAGACATTTGACTGCTACCCAGTCACTCCTGGGAAGGAAGACTGGGCAATCTACTTCTGTAGTGATACTGCCTCTGAAACCCAAGGAGGGTCACTGAGTTGGATCCAACTCAACGTCAGTGAGTATAGTAGGTGCTAAATCAATCTTTGTTTATCATGATAATTGGGAGACACAAGGCATACAAGCCTTGGACCCTGGATTGTGCAAATGGTTAACGTTCTCAGATGGTGACCAAAAGGTTGGCAGTTCAAGTCTACCCAGAGACCCTATGGAAGAAAGGCCTGGTGATCTACTTCCAAAAAGTCAGCCATTGAAAACTCAAGGGAAGACAGCTCTACTCTGAAACACATGGGGTCGCCATGAGTTGGGGTTTACATTTGTATAGATGTCATGACTTTACAAACCACTTTTATTTTTTTATTGTGATTTGGGTGCAAATATACAAAGCAGATTCATTTTACTCTCACATATTTCATTTCATGGCACCGATAACAATCCCAACAATAAACAGCTCTCCTCCTATCTCCTCCCTGTGACTCCCCCTTCCCCATCCTTCTTACCTATGCATTCCTATCTGTCTAGTGTTCCCTCTACACAAATGCTGCCCTTCCGATCTCTCACAGTTGACTGTTCTAAGGTGTGCATCTGCCTGGAGTAGATGTTCTGCTCATAGGCCTTTCTGTGGACAAACTACTTTCATATCCACATTCCTATTTGACACTCTTAGCTGAGATGATGAGGATTAGTCAGCATTTTAACAACGTTGTTCAGTGGTAGTACAGAAGCAGGACTCAGGTCTCCTGACTTCTCTGCTGATGTTCTTCTCACCATCAAGGCTGTCTCTCATATTGGAACCCGAAGGGGGTGGGGAGTGTCTTCCATTATATAAATCCCACTGGAGGTAATGAGGAAGAACAGGACAAGGTCCAAGATCCAACCTTGCCCTACAGTCTCTCCTCTCCTCGAAGGAGGATTCAGCACATAGAATCAAGGATAGAAGTGGACAACATGGCCAGGGCAGGACCTACAGTGACCAGAATTGAATCAAAGGGTATAAATGCTACTGCCATGAACTAGTTCTTCTAGAAGTAGTTGGTTACAGCATCCTTTGCCTTTCTCTGCTGTAACATCATTTCTGGTCTTGCATTTGGAAGATCAGCACCCAAAAGACCTTAGAGATCATCTGTGCTCTACAGATGAGAAGACCGTGGCCACGAGAGGGGAGGTGACTTGTCCAAGGTCATATAGTTACCTATAGGCAGAGCTGTGATTCAGATCCTGGGCTCCTGACTTGATCATAGCATCTATATGATTCATAATGAACCTCTGAAGAGCCTCAAGGAAATCCAGAGCTACAATCAAGCTATTTCTCAAAGGATATCTGCTCTGCGTGGCCCAGAAGAAGACACAATCTGGATCACTGGAGGGGCAGAGGGTGGGGGGAAGGGAAGCAACCAAACTCTGATGCCTCTGAGGCTCCCTCACTCTTACTTTTACTGTGACCATCTGCAAATATCCTCCTTTCTTCTACTTCTTTGCATCATCACTCCTAGTGAATACTAAGGGTATATAACACTTTTTCTCGATTACTCACCCTGCAAAGGGTGCTAGTATAGGGAGAAGAGGAGCTAACTTTTGCAAAGTTTTACTAGGTACCAGGTGCTATACAAATTCTGGACCTCCATTAGGCCATGTCCCTTCAGTAGACAGGTAGGCAGAGGTAGGTGAAGTCCCGCATACCCATTCACTTCACTAAATAATACATTAAAAAAAAAAAAAAAAATTCCAGGATCCAAATAGGGTCCCCCTCACAGTTTTTCACTCCTTCCCTCTCTCGGTTGGGCTGTTGTTGTTGTTATTTGCTGTCAAGTCGGACCTGACTCATAGCGACCCCTCCTTGGCTTTCCAAGGCAGTATCACTATGGAAGTAGATTGCCCCATCTTCCTTACGAGGAGTGGCTGGTGGGTTTGAACCGCCAGGCTTCTGGTTAGCAGTCAAGTGCCTTAGGCACTATGCTACCAGAGCTCTTGAAGAGACCAATAGTTCTATCTTATGTGCCTGCTCACAAGCTTTTAAAACCACAGGCAGTACTCACCGAACTAGGATGTAGAACATTATCTTTACGAACTGTTATACCAGTTGACCTAGGTGTCCCTGAGACTGTGGTCTTTAGCCTTCAAGCCCAATAACTCAATCCCACTGTTGTTGTTGTTATGTGCCCTCAAGTTAGACCTGACTCATAGTGACCACTCCTTGGGTTTCCGAGGCAGTATCACAATGAAAGTAGATTGCCCCATCTTCCTTCCGAGGAGTGGCTGGTGGGTTTGAACTGCCAGCCTTCTGGTTAGCAGTCAAGTGCCTTAGGCACTACGCTACCAGAGCTCGGTTGGGCTGGGCTGGGCTAATTAGGCTAGAATGGGAATGAGTAACAAGGCATGAGACCAGACTCTGGGTTCCTGTCTTATCTAAACAGTGTCATCCTAGGCATTCACCAGATCTGGGCCCCTCCACCACATTTGCCACCTGTATGATCACAGATACTCTAGCAGGGACGCAGGCAGTTTGATCCTTCTCGACTCCCAGCATCTGAGATTAGGAGCTCATAGGGGCAGCTCTGAGACCTGGGGCAGCTGTGGCAATAAAGTAGGGCCAGTCATTCTGGCCTCCCTACTCTGCCCAAACTGAGTTCCCACTAACCTCAACCCTCACCCTTCCAGCTTTCACATCTGGTGTTTGAGATGGGCAGAGAAACTCCACTAGCCCTGTGGACAGTGCCAGACTCCAAGGAGTTGGCCCTAGAAGATGCTCAGCTCAGTGATGGCCTCCCTGCCTGCCTGCTCTAGGTCCTTGGGCGACTCTTCAGGCTCATGCCTCCCACTGAGACTGAGGCTGAGGTTGAGGGTGGGTGGGCAGCTGGAACGGGTGAGTAGTGTGGTTCGACGGCTTGAAAGGCTACCATTGGAGAGCTGCCTGCTCATCTGGGGACGGGGACCCCCACAGCAGACCAGATGGTGCAAGGGGCGTGGCAGCAGGTGGCTGTTAAAGCCCATGTAGATCCAGGGGTTGCAGCAGCTGCTGAGGTTTCCCAAAAGCATGGAGATGGTGAAAGCCACATCGGTTGAATCTGCTGAGAGAAGCATGGAAAACCTTAGAATTTCAGGGACAGAAGGGACAGGGAGAAAAAAGTTCAGGAGGCCCTCACTGAATGGATGAGGACACTGAGTTCCAGAGAGAAGGGATTCACTTGAGGTCCTATAATTACATAGTAGCACAACCCAGATTTGAATCTGAGACTCCAGATTCCAAAGTCTTATCTCACTGATTTTTTTCTTTGTATCTATAGGGTAAGGCTGGGAGCGAAGTTTGTTCCAAGTTGAAGTCAGAGGGGAAAATACAGTCAGGGATAGGACCACCCCAAATAGGAGAAACTGTCTTTGTTCTAAAACCTAGACCTTGAATACCCTTATGGATATAGACTTAGGATGAAGCAACTTCTATAAACATGCTTCTAGGCCACAAGATCAAGTTCAGACATCCCCCCCCACTTTTTTTTTATCACCATCCCTATTTATGTCATAGATCATGGATGCACACTACCTTTTGGATTCTGTCCTCCTTAAAGCCTCAGGGGCAGTTGCACTCATTCAGTTGTTTAGACATTTGAGCCTTTGAGTCCTAACTCTGTGCAAGGCCCTAGGCTGGGGACATGGTAGGACAGGCAGTAGAGATGGAGTAGCCGCCAGGGACCCATGCCATGATCTCTAGCTACAGCAGAGGAGCAGCTTCCAGGTACAGGGTATCCAACCATTCTTTTCCAGTCCAAGCACTCTTCTGTGTCCTCAGGAGCCTATACTCAGGGAATGCACCTTCCTGCAGCAAAAAACTAATTTCACTTTTAGGCAGTCAAAATATGAAAGTGCAAAGACTGGTAAGATTCCTTCCAGGCATCATATTCTTTCTAAAGATGAAATGAAACTCCTCATGGGTCAACAATTAAGCTGCGGGGATGGATCCCAGTCTCTTACTAGATAACACCATGATTAGTTATGTCACAGGTCACATGGAGTGACTTTGTTTCTAATGCTTTGCATGGGAAGTTGTAGAGCCATTGAAGCAATGTCAGGACTGGATGGAATCTTAGGGGTAAATTTAAACTGTAAATTTTTACTTCACAATTAATAAGAACCACCATCTGAACCTAGATTTTCTGGCACTAAAACAGAGATCCTGCACCCCACCATAGTTTGCTCCCAACTAGCAAAGTCAAAGGCAAATCCCACACGCCTACTCTGCAAAGCACCGTGAGAGCTTCAGACTCATTGGTTCCCTGTGCACACTGCCCAATGAGGTACTCACAAGTATGGCCACTCATGGCCCAAAGGAAGGGAAGACACAGGACTGGGACATAGGACAAAGAACATTTGCTAGAAGGCACATGGGCCTAGATCCACTGCAGAGGGAAGTGAATGTGAAGGAGGAGGGACCAGATTCAACAGCAAATTCATCCTCCTTCAGCTTGGCTGAGGTTCCTCCCTGCTTTCCAGGAAATAGGAGTAGGGGTTGTAGAAGACTTGGGGAATTGCTTTGGCTAAAGAGATGGTATAAGCATTCATCCCTTCTGCTCCACTGATGTGTATTTAGTGCCAAATTTCAACCAGCAACAGGGGGTTCTACCAGTTTCTGCAATTGTAACTTGGTTGGGCCTCCATCTGAGCCAGGCCTGGTGCAGGGGCTGGAGATGTGCCACAGAGAAAGTGCCAACATCCACAGAAACTCTGTGCTCCACTCTTAGCCCTTGAGGGCAGGTGCATATGCCCAGCCACAGACATCCATTGCTGTAACTCAGCTTGCAATCCCTGGCAGGACAGAAGCAGTGAGACAGGCAAGCTCTAACCACAGTCTTAGGGACAGGAGGTCAGAGGCCAACACGCTGAGGAGGAGAACTGTGTGTACTGGTAAATAAATTTTAAATAATGATTCTTAGCCCAGCAACAAAGGTGCCCTAAGGGCTTTCATTCTTCTAAGAGAGCACATTGTCTGCAAGACAACACTTTGTTCCTACATTCTTTACACAGAGGCCCTTAACCCACTGCCATCTAGTTGATTCTGATGGAAAGCAACCCTATAGGAGAGAGTAGAAATGCCCCATAGGATTCCCCAGGCTATAAATCTTTGCGGAAGCAGGCTGTCACATCTTTGTCCTGTGGAGTGGCTGGTGGGTTCGAACCACTGACGTTTTGGTTAGCAGCCCAATGCTATAAGCACAGCACCACCAGAGCTCCTTGAGGGCCCTTAATAAGTGGTAAATCTCTCTACACAGGAGAGGGATGGGGTACTAAAGGACAGGGTCATGATGATGAGGGACACGGTAGACAAGTAGGAAAGCTCCACTAGCTGAGGGGCAGCATCCCCATCTTCTCATAGGTCCATCTCAAAAGTGGGCAGTAACCACCTCACCCCTGGTGTCATCAGCTAAGTTTGTGACTATGGAGAGTAAAACATGTCATGAATAAAGCTTGACCGATAAAGACCTTGATTCAAGTCCTGGTTCTGTCACTTGCTAGCAGTGACACTTTGGAACATTTACTTACCTCTCTGAGCCTCAGGTTACTCAGATGTGCTCTAGAGAAGGTCATCACTAATTAGCATGAGGAATGACTATGGTGAGCATGAGGAAACCCTTCTTCCTTCTATTCTATGCTTGGCCAGAGCAAGTCATTCCCTACAGTTTACTATAATTAATATATTCATTGCAAAAAGGGTAATTTGCAAACAGGCCTTCCTCCAGACTGAGGTAAAAATGGTGGCCAAGAAGGTAGAAAAGATTGAAGTTGTCAAAGATTTCATATTACTTGGATCCACAATCAACATCCATGGAAGCAGCAGTCAAGAAATCAGATGCCGCATTGCACTGGGAAAATCACCTGCAAAAGACCTCTTTAAAATGTTGAAGAGCAAAGATGTCACTTTGAAGACTAAGGTGCGCCAAACCCAAGCCATGGTATTTTTAACAGCCTCATGTGCACGTGAAAGCTGGACAATGAAAAGGAAGATCAAAGAAGAGTTGATGCTTTTGAGTTGTGGTGTTGGCGAAGAATATTGAAAGTGCCATGGACTGCCAGAAGAAGGAATAAATCTGTCCTGGAAGAAGTGCAGCCAGAATGTTCCTTGGAAGCGAGAATGGCCAGACTTGTCTCATCTACTTTGGTCATGATGTCAGAAGGGGCCATTCCCTAGAGAAGGATGTCATACTTGGCAAAGTGGAGGGTCAATGAAAAAGGGAAAAACCCTCAACAACATGGATTGACACAGTGGCTATGATAATGGGCTCAAGTGTAGCTAGGATTGTGAGGCTGGCGCAGGACTGCACAGTATTTTGTTCTATGGGGTCACTATGAGTTGGAGCCAACTCGATGGCACCTAACAACAATGAGAAGAAGGTACAATGGAGCTGTGACCATTTGTTATTAATTTTGTGCTTCTTTTGCAGGGTTGTATAAAATTTATGAACCACTTTCCTCTAATTTCACCTCTCTAGAGAAGTGAAGCATTTGGCTAGAGCAAAACAAGATTAAGAACAAAAGCATAAGGGAGGGGGAACACTACTCTAAGAGCTGGTAGGAACTGGTAGCCTGGGTGTCCTGGTCAGTGAACTCTCAGAAAGTTTCCAGAGGAACTATGCATAGGGTCTTCCTAGGGCAGTTCAATACTATGCCCATCATGTAGCCATAGCTTTGCACACTAGAGAGTGCACTGCAGAGCACACAGGCCCGTGCACAGTCACCCAGGTGATCAGCACACACTTGTCCTTATACTCCACTCCTACTCAGGGCAGAAGGAACAGGTACCTTAGAATACCACTCTACCAACACTTAGGCTGCCCTGACACAGACCCTGCCTTCCTGAGGATAAGCTCACTCCTGATGGCCGGACCATCAGGCAGTGTCTAAAGCTCAGAAGGTTGCTGTCAACCTGACCCCAGAAAAGTGGCCAGAGCAAGTCTTCCCATGTGCCAACTGGAACACAGTCCTCTTGGAGGGTCACATTTTCTGTCTCACCTAAGAGGAAGGACTTACTTCTCACCACTTCTAGAGCCAGGGTTAGGTGAAGGCAGACATGAGAAAGGAGCAACATTGGGTTCTACTCTTCACTTTGCTACTCCTTGGCTGTACGGGGTCTTAGACAAGTCATGTTTCTTCTTTGAGCCTCTGTTTCCTCATTATCAAAATGAAAGGATTTGTTATGGATTGAACTGAGTCCCTCAGAAGTACATGTTGGAATCCTAACCCCTGTACCTGTGGACGTAATCCCATATGAGAGCAGGGCTTTCTTTGTATGCTAATGATATGATATCAGGGTAGGATGTGTCTTAAACCTAATCACACCTGAGTAATAAAAAGAGCAGATAAGACATAGAGTGAAGCAAGTATAAATGGGGAAAAGACTGATGCCACGTGGAGATTGCCAAGGGATACCAGGGTTGCAGAAGCTGAGACAAGGATTCTCCCCAAGAGCTGACAGAGAGAGAGACTTCCCCTAGGACTGGTGCCCTGATTTTGGACTTCCAGACCCTGAGCTGGGAGAAAATAAATTTCTGTTCTTTAAAATTACTCAGCTGTGGTATTGCTGTTACAGCAGCACTAGGAAACTAAGACAAGGTTGAACTTGAAATTTCAGGGTTGTCATGTGCCAACCTAATTAATTGGAAGTGGCTATTAAGGAGTCCAAAGTCACATCCAGGTACAGGAGGAGAGTGGTGTGAGAGACAGTTTGTAGGTCCCAAAATGCCCTCCTGGACTGGATCATTTGAAAATCTCTTTCAGCTCCATCATTCCATGACCCTAAAGCTCATCTAGCAAACTGGTGGTTGGCTGGCCAAATCTGTCAATGGTCATATTTCATTAGGGCCACATTGTTGTTGTTGTTGTTATGTGTCGTCGAGTCAAACCCGACTCATAGCGACCCCTCCTTGGGTTTCCAAGGCAGTATCACTACGGAAGTAGGATTGCCCAACCTTCCTTCCGAGGAGTGGCTGGTAGGTTTGAACTGCCAGCCGTCTGGTTAGCAGGCAAGTGTCTTAGCCACTATGCTACCAGAGCTCCTAGGGCCACATAGTATGTTTAAATTTTAAAATTAGTCAACCAAATTTCAAAATTTCAGGAGACTTTACATAAAAGATACTCCTGTGGCATACTCATGTGGCATCAGTTGGCTGGATGGTAGTTGTAGTTGCCCCTTTTCACATGGGGTGAGCACTATCTTTCTTACCTGCTTCACGCATTTGCTACCTGCCTGAGCCCTGAGAGGTACTGGGTTTGCAGGCCCGGTCTGAATCCTCCCATCTTCCCTTCCCTATTCTTCTCTACCTTTCCCCCTTCCACCCAGACCATTCACTTGCCTTCATCAGGTGCATTCTCATCCCACACAGACCACATCTGGACACTAAAGAAGGGTGCCCAGCAGGCAATATAGGCCAGCACAATGACAAAGGTCATCTTCACAGTTCGGATCTTGGCCCGGGAGATGGTGCTGATGCTGCTGACCCGGGATGGCAGCCCCCACGTGGCTGTAGCTGGGGCTGACTGGGAGGGCCTGTCCCAAGTTCTCCAGCCCCCTCTTCCCACTCTCCAGGCCTGTGTCTTGACCTTCAGGTTCTTACAGATCTCATGGCAGATGAGGCTGTAGCAGGCTGTGAGCACAGCCACAGGTAGGATGAAGATGGCCAGGGTGGTCCAGGTGATGTAGGCCCGTAGCCCCCAGGGGAAGCGGAAGTCTGCCCAGCAGTCCAGCACACCTGAGCCCTTGATCACTTCCTTCAAGGAAAATATGAAGATTTGGGGGAGGCTGAGGACTGCGGCCAGCAACCAGGGCACAGTGATGAGTGGGTAGGTGGATTGGCTGGGCTGCTGGAGGCTGCGCAAGGGGTGACAGACCGCCAGGTAGCGGTCCAGTGTCATGGCCAGCAGCATGTAGGTGGAGGCGAACATGCTGAGCACTTGCAGGTACTTGACAGCCCGGCAGAGGAGGTCAGGGCCTTGGAATCGGTAGGTAATGTCCCAGAGTAGCTGCGGCAGCACCTGGAAGAGCGCCACACCCAGGTCAGTCAAGGCCAGGTGTAACACAAACAGGTGCATGCGGGAGCGTTTGCGGCCTGGCTGGCCCAGAGTCAGCAACACAGCCAGGTTGCCTCCTGTTGCAAGGACCAGGACAGTGGCTAGGACCCCAATTTCCACCTTGGCCAGCTCCTCATCCCGGCCCAGCCAGGGTGTCGTGGCATTGGGGACAGAGAGGGTGCCTCCAAGGGTGGGGCTGGTAGTAGCCCAAGGAAGCCTAGAATCCATGTCAAGATTTGCTGAGAAGGAAGATGACGGAGAATAGTGAGGCTAGATGGATGGGATGGAATAGGAGGCAAAGATTTAAGCTGGAGAGAAAGAAGGGTGAGAATGACAGAGAAAAGGCTCGAAAATAGTTCAGGGCACAGGGATAGGAAGGAAGAGGGAGAATGAGGTAAGAAAGGAGAAAATGTGGAGGAACCAGGAGCAAAGACAGGGAGTAGCTCTGGAAGCAGGTGTCAATATGGGAAGAAAGGATGAGGCCCTGAGGCCTTTGGAACGGAAAGAATGTTGAGAGAGCAGCTACTACCCCCGAATCCACCCCAAATTCACTTCCCCAAACTTTTCTGAGAGCGAAAAGCGGATGCATCTAAGCCTGCCTCTCTGGTTTACGCAGCATCGGAGGAAGCTAAGTCCTTAGCGGTCGGTGTCGTCCGAAGGCTGGAAGTCCCAGCTGAGCCTGCACTCAGAGGCCGACGAACGGCGGTCAGAGACCACAGGAGCGCGGCTGCACGGGGCGGAGAGGATTTTATGCGCTTCCAGCCGGAGCCTAGCGACTGCTGGGCTCACCGGTTGGCTCTCGCAGAAGAGGGCGGAGTGAGACAGATACCAACCCCGGCGGAGGAGGCTGGCTGGTGGGAGCTCCAACCGCTTTCAGGTCCCGGTTAGCCCCGGAAGGGTCCGAGAATTTGCAAGTTTGGTCTGGTAGGCGAGGCAGCGCCCGCAGAGGGAGCTCTCGGCTCTTGCGAGCAAAGTCTTATTATCCACTCTGGTAAGGGACTTGGAGTCCTAGAGGGAGTAAAAGGTGAGGAAATGTGAGGAAGAATATTGGTGACTAGAAAGAGGTGGTGGGTGGTAGGAGCTAGACCTGAGAGCGCTGGGGCACTCAATGAAGGGGGACAAGAGGAGAAACTCTGGGTGGTGGAGGGTGTGCGACGGTATTTGTGTCCCTGGGGAAGTCTTAAGGAACTCTGTGTGGCGTAGTGGGTAAGGCTTTGGCTGCTAAATAGAAGGTCAGCGGTTCAAACCCACCAGCTGCTTCTCTGGAGGAAGATGAGACAATGTACTTCAGTGAAGTTTTGCTGTCTTAGAAACTTAGTGCGCTCCTCTGGCAGGTGTGTTCTACTTAATGGCGGTGAGTTTGGTTTTTTTGTGTGTGGGGGTGTGGGGGGGGGGGGGTGGGGGGGGTCACAAAATCTGCAGGAAGTCTTAGCCCTTGGTCTATCCTGAGTGGTTTTCACAAGCCAGATGCTTCAGCTATCTTAAACTCAGTTCGCAACCCTGTGAGGTAGAAAACTGAGGCCCAGAGAAGTTATATGACTTCTTCTAGAAAAGCACAGAATTAACAAGCAGTGGAGACAGGACTAAAACCCAGCCACGTGCGCTTTTCCTACAGCACAGCAGCAGCATTTGACTGACACCCACTATGTCTAAAAAAATCTAAAACTCACTGCCTTCCAGTCAGGTCTGACTCAGCCACCCCTCATTGGGTTTCCGAGGTGGTATCACTAGGGAAGTAGATTGCCCAACCTTCCGTCCGAGAAGTGGCTGGTGGGTTTGAACCACCAGCCTTCTGGTTAGCACTCAAAAGCCTTAGCAGTCAAATGCCTTAGGCACTACGCCACCAGACCTCCTATGTCCACTATGCCAGTGAGTGCTAAATCAAAAACCAAATCCAAGGCCATGGAGTCGATTCCGACTCATATCAATCCTTTAGGACAGAGCACAACTGCCTCATAGGTTTTCCAAGGCTGTAAATCTTTATGGAAGCAGACCGCCTCATCTTTTTCCCACAGAGCAACTGGTGGGTTTGAACCACCAATCTTTTGATTAGCAGCAGAATGCTCTAACCATTACACCACTGGGAGTACAAATAAAACATCATCTGTCCCAGAGGAAGCTTACAGCTCAGTAGGTAAGATTTTGTGAGGTATTCATTGTGGAATTCCTGTTATTTTCCATAAATGTACAGGTGGATTATTGAGACTCCTCCTAGTAGAGACTAGAAGTTCACTAGAAATGATAATGGTCCAGAACTCTCAGGGCAGGGGCTGTAATGGTAGGGAGTACTCTTGTCTTACCTTATATCCAAAGAAGGCTCTCCTTTACCATGTTACCAATTATCCATCCAATTAGCATTTCTTCTTCTCCTTCCTTCCTTCCAGAGCAAATTCATTTTCCATACAGCAGTTCATACACAAATACACAGTTCATGACATTGACTGCAATCCCCATAATGTAACACCTCTCTTCCCACTTCCTCCCCATGGTTACCTTTTCCCTTCTTTCCGATGCATTCCTGCCCTCTGAGCTACCCCCCTATGCAAATACTGCCCTTCTGATCTCCCTTGATTGATTGTTCTAAGGAGTGTATTACCTGGTATAAATGTTCATTTTATATGCCTTTCTATGGTTTGGCTGGAAGCTGTGGGAGTGAGTTCAATTCTAGGCCTGAAATGTGACTAGGGGCCATAGCCTCAGGGGTTTCACCAGTCTCTATAAGACCAGTAAGCCTGGTCTTTTATGATTTTGAGTTTTGTTCTACATTTTCTCCAACGCTATCCAGGGTCTCCTGTGCTGATCCCTTCCCGAGTAGTTGACAGTGGTAGCCAGGCATCATCTAGTTTTTCTGGTCATGCAGGCTGAGGTTTGCATGGTTCACTGGTCCCATTAGACTAATTGTTTCCACGTGTTGTTGGTTGTCTTCATTCTTCTTTGCTCTGGATGCGGAGAGACCAATTGTTGCATCTAGATGAATGCTTGCAAGCATTTAAGACCCCAGTTGCTACTCACCAAAGTAGGATGTAGAACCTTGTTTTTGTGTAATATATTATGGCAGTTGAGCTTGATGTCCCTTGTGACTATGGTCCCAAGCACAGGCAAAACAACTTGACACATCATTGGCTGTGGCTGAGACGTTATCATAACTTTGGTCCCTATTAGTTCTATTTATATGGACATTTTTATTACCCCCCCCCCCAAAAAAAAAAAACCTCACTGCCTCAAGTTGATTCCAATGCATAGAGACCCCCACTGGGTTTTTGAGGTGGTAAATCTTTAGCAGCTGGTGGGTTTGAACCGCCAACCTTCTGGTTAGCAGTCAAATGCTTTAGGAACTATGCCACTGGAGATCCTTTTAGCTCATACAAATACATATATAGAATTACCATCTTCCACAGATATGTATAGTCATGGGTATTTTCCCTTTTGCCTAGACATACCTGATCATTCAGTCTGTCTACCTACGTATCTACCCATAGTTTAATGTTTGTATTACTGATAATGCAGTGTTGTATATGTAAAAGTGTTTATCTTTGTTGTCCATACCTCTTGTGCACTCCTCTGTCTTCCTTTTCCTTAGTGTTATTGTGTTGGTCACTCACTTTTGGTATATTGCCTTTCCCAATTAGAATCACTTCTTGAAGATTCTATTTCCTGAACAGCCTACCAATTAATCTCCACTTCCTTCCAACTGTCACACTTCAAACACTTATCATTTCTCACCTAAAATACTGTAGCATCTTCCTTTTGTTCTCTGCAGCCCACGCTTCCACCTTCTCAAGGATTTTGCTCCTTCTAAGAGATCATTTTCTGTCTATTGTGGATCATTCCCATCTACATGCAAACAAGCTCTGGTGTTGTCTATCTTAAAAATCGTAATAATGACCCTCATCAGACACTATACCTTTACCTCTACCTATTGCAATCTCTTTCCGTCCACAGCAAAACTTTTAAAAAGGGCTGCGTACTCTCGTCTCCATTTTATTGCTACCAATCATTCGTTTCTTAGTATATTCATTTAAAATTATAAATATATATTTATAATATTTCATAAATGATATACTCTATGTACCATTCTGAAACTTGCTTTTTAAATTCAACATTCTTTTTGTGATCTGTCCAAGCTGATTGTATGATAGATCTAGTTCATTTATTTTAACTACTATGTACTATTTAAGCTTGACATAGTTAGGCTATTTCCAGTTTTTTTATTTTGTTTGCTTTTTTAAAACTGCTATAATGAACATTTTTATACATGTTTCTTTGTAGTCACATGTGAGAATTTTTCTTGGTTATATATCCAGAAGTATATACAGGATATAAATATCTTTGGGTCACACAATGAAGGACCATATTGCTCTCTAAATTTGTTGTACTAATTTATTCTTCTACAACATACATTTGAGAGTTTTCTAAAATCCTTAAAGTTAGAAATAGCATCTCATTTTGCTTTTATTTTATTTTCCTGGGTTACCAATTATATTGAATACTTTCCTGCAGAACATTTCAGGATCAATCCTGAAGTACAAGGCTATTAATGATAGGATAATATCATACACATACAAGGAAGACCAATTAATACGATTATTTTTCAAATTTACACACTAGCCACTAAAGTCAAAGATAAAGAAATTGAAGAGTTTTACCAACTTCTGAAATTGATCAAACATGCAATCAAGATGCATTGATAAATCCTGGTGATTAGAATGAGAAAGTTGGAAACAACGAAGAAGGATCGGTGGTTGGAAAATATGGCCTTGGTGATAGAAAAGACACTGGAGATCACATGATAGAATTTAGTAAGACTAACTACTTATTTATTGCAAATACATTTTTTTTGACACATAAATGGCAACTATATACATGAATCTCACCAGATGGAACACATAGGAATCAAACTGACTACATTTGTGTAAAGAGGGAATGGGGATTTGCAATATCATCAGTCAGAACAAGGCCAGGGGCTAGCTGTGGAACAGACCATCAGTTCACATGCAAGTTCAAGCTAAAGTTGAAGAAAATGAAAAGAAGCCCTTAAGAGCCAAAATAAGACCCTGACTATATCCCACCTGAATTTAGAGACAATCTCAAGGATAAATTTGATGTGTTGAACACCAGTGACTGAAGAGTAGATGAGTTACAGCATGACATCAAGGACATCATACGTGAAGAAAGTAAAAGGTCATTAAAAAGACAGGAAAGAAAGAAAAGACTAAAATGGACATGAG